CTTCCATGTACTCACCGGCTGAAGTTGTCTTCGTGCTTACAAGCCACCTCGCATTGGACACATTGAAGTCCCCTGCGAGGATGGTGTGAGCAGCGCCGTGTCGCACAAGGTCGATTGTGGTGTCCAGGTACTCTATGAGGGTGACGTCCGAGTCGCTACTGGACCCAGGGCGGCAGACAAGACGGTTATATTTATTTATTTACTTTACTTTATTGGGAACACAGCCCTACAAAGAGACATGTGGAGACAATCACAAAACATTCAGGGGATGTAGGGACGACGTGCCGATGTACAGGGAGCAACTCGACCGACCAGGGGTCTCGGCGTTAGCGTTGCAACCTGGCATCGAAAAGGGGGGGGGGGGGGTTGCATGGTCAAGTAGCAAAAATAATAATTTGGTGCGAGAAAGGGGCGCTAGTATTGCACCAAATAATATAAATACGTGTAATAACTAAACCAGGAGGGAAAAAGAAAAAAGACAACAATAATCATAACAAGCAAGTACTAGTAGAGAGGTAAATACTATTTAATAGGTCTCAATATCATCGTCACAGGTACTGTGTGGACCACAGCCATCTCTTTCGGATTAGATCCTTACATGCGTTGACCTTGAAGGTTTGGAGGCGTCTTGAATGAGGTTCGTGAAGCAGGAGGTCCGCAGGCAGGTTGTTCCAGGGTGTGATGGCGAAGAGGGGGAAGGATCGCAGGAGGCGGGTATCGCACACAGGAGTGCTGTACAAAGCAAAGCAGGCCGGCGTCGACGGACGCCTGCTTGTATGGCTACAGGACTACCTCACCAACCGAAACATCCGCGTTGTGGTTGGAGGCCAGACGTCAAATGCTCAACCCATCCAGGCTGGTGTCCCCCAAGGCAGCATCCTAGGACCCAGCCTCTTCCTTCTATACACCTGTGACATTGAACAATGTTTAACTCCAGGAACGCAGCTGAGCAGCTTTGCAGACGACACCACACTCTACAGCTTAGTACAGCCAACTGACGATCTCCAACAGTCCACCGCCTCCCTCCAAGGGTCCCTCAACAGTCTTGAGGAGTGGGGCCGCAAGTGGCGTATCTGTTTTGAGCCAGCCAAGACACAGCGCATGACTCTACATCGCAAGCACGTTCCCCCCTGCACTCCACCAGTCACCTTTGGAGGTGAAGCACTCCAGGAGACAGATACCCTGAAGCTGCTGGGAGTCATGCTCGACCCTACTCTCTCCTACAGAGCGCACACTCGCAGTGTTGCACTGCGCGCCACCCAAAGGCTGGGTTTCCTACGAAAGGCAGCACCCATCCTGGACGACCATGGTCGAGTGACGGTCTACAAGGGATTCGTGCGACCCCTACTTGAATATGCCCCACTGGCCTGGTCGAGCGCAGCCGCAACTGACATGGCCCAGCTGGACAAGGTTCAGCAACGTGCCCTGCATTTCCTGGGACCTGGAACCATCCTCCAAAGTCTTCAGCTTCGTCGGATGGTGGCAGCCCTGTCATACTTGTTCAAGCTGCACTACATTCCAGGGCCTCCCCAGGTAAAGGCCATGCTGCCACCAACCAAGCCCCATGCCGTAGCTAGCATGTGCACACGGCAAAAACGTCAGACGCACCATGCCTTTCAGCTGAAGTGGACACCCCCTCGCACAGCCCCTGACTACCTCCTGCGATCCTTCCCCTTCTTCGCCATCACACCCTGGAACAACCTGCCTGCGGACCTCCTGCTTCACGAGCCTCATTCAAGACGCCTCCAAACCTTCAAGGTCAACGTATGTAAGGATCTAATCCGAAAGAGATGGCTGTGGTCCACACAGTATCTGTGGCGATGATATTGAGATTTGAGACCCATTTAGTATTTACCTCTCTACTACTACTTGCTTGTTATGATTATTGTTCTCTTTCTTCATTTTCCCTTCTGGTTTAGTCATTACACGTATTTATAATTATTATTTGGTGCAATACTAGCGCCCCTTTCTCGCACCAAATTATTATTTTTGCTACCTGACCATGCACCCCCCTTTTTTTTCGATGCCAGGTTGCAACGCTAACGCCGAGACCCCTGGTCGGTCGAGTTGCTCCCTGTACATCGGCACGTCGTCCCTACATCCCCTGTGTCTTGTCTTGTGTTTGTCTAAAAAAAAAAAAAAAAAAAAAAAAAAAAAAAAAAAAAAGGTAGTCAGGGCTGTGCGAGGGAGTGTCCACTTCAGCTGGAAGCCATGGTGCGTCTGATGTTTTTGCCGTGTGCACATGCTAGCTACGGCAGGGGGCCGCTTGGTTGGTGGCAGCATGGCCTTTACCTGGGGAGGCCCTAGATTGAATGTAGTGCAGCTTGTACAACTACAAGCATGACAGGGCTGCCACCATCCGACGAAGCTGAAGACTTTGGAGGATGGTTCCAGGTCCCAGGAAATGCAGGGCACGTTGCTGAACCTCGTCCAGCGGGGCCATGTTAGTTGCGCTGCGCTCGACCAGGCCAGTGGGGCATATTCAAGTAGGGGTCGCACGTAGGCCTTGACAGATTATGCTAATATTTTCGTGAAATTATGCTTTTCGCATTGCTGAAAAAATTGCAGAATTATGCTATTTTTATGCTAAAAGTTATCATAATTATGCCGCATCATGCTCACATATGCTGCTAATGAACATGTATAATTATGATGGTTCTGTGCAAAATAACAGGTGATTTTTTTTTGTAGAGGGCGTTGTACTGTAGTAGCAAAAGTTCAACGGGGTCAACGCTAGCCCTTTCCCAAAGGTGCTCGCCCTTTTTTCGCCCTTTTTGACCCTTTTTGGAAAAGCCCGTTTCTTTCGCCCTTTGGCTCTATTGCGTTTTTTGGTAAATATCGCTATTTTTGAGCTTTTTTAGCTGAAAGAGTGCTAAAATCTGTTTGCTCATGCATGCGATCACAGTTCCCGAGTGCTCGATGGGCCTCGTGCCCTCAGCACGCCGTTTTTTTGGAGCAACAAGTTGGTGAAGCTTGTACCCCACTGTACACCCGCAGTTGATTTTCCCCATTTCTCTCCTCATCAATCCCTACTTCTCTTTGTACATACATCTACATCTACTGTTCTTTCAATCAAATGAACCCCTCGATAGGCACATTGCCTTTGGGTCATTTCATAATAATAATAATAAAATAATAATACCCGGTGTACACAAATAATAATTGACTCAACGCACCGTCCGACCTACATGTACATGTAGCTACGACCGTCACCCTGGTCACTGATTGTAGTGGACTGGACATGTTATCAAGGGAGTCGTAAACCTACGCCTTCCTGGTGCGTCTACTTGTACTTGTAGAACATGTACAACTGTATGGAATTTGATGCGAACAGGCGGATTATTCCAATTTTATGCGATTCGTATGCAATTTGCCTCGAATTATGCGATTATTCGATTTTGGTAGGAATTATGCGAAAAATTATGCTAGTATAATCTGTCAAGGCCTAGTCGCACGAATCCCTTGTAGACTGCCACTCGACCATGGTCGTCCAGGTGTGCAGGTGTAATCGCATCCAGTGTGAAATTCTTGTCGAAGTGGAATCGCACCAGTACTGGCAGTAGCCTGCCACATCACGCCACAGCCATGCTGCGCTTTGGACTGAGAGTGAGAGTCTCATGATAATGACATTGTGTTGATGGAGATGTTTAGTAACTAGCACACGATTACTAATCAGCCGGCGAACAGTCACTCTGATCGCCATGAATAATTATACATTTATATCGCTCTGTGAGCGGTTCTGAAAACCTCTACTGGTGCAGCCCCGTCGTAAAAGTAAGAAATAATAATTAGAACTGGTGCATTGTCACCCCAAATGTGAACTGATCCACCTAAATCGCGATTGACGGGACCCGAACGCACCAGTAGCACGAGGTTCCTACCTGTGGATGCAGCTGGGGACGCTGCTCCATATTAGTATTGGAATGGGTTCTGATGGCGCCAATGAAGGAAGAGTAAGACAACCGTGACCTTGGAAGCCCGAACCCGTACACACATACATCAAGGAGAGCTATCTGAGACACGATCAAGCCCCTTCGCATCCGGACTATTCCTTCCTATTTCAGCCTGTCACTTCAGCCTGTCATTCATTGGATACGACATCAGAGCATGGCTGGATTCACACGGACTTGCACATTTCAAAGGGCTTTGAAATGTACTAGTGTGCTTTGCATGGGAAGTGCTGGTGCGGTGGCGACCTGCATAAGCAACGAGGATTATCATGTCCCCCGACAAAATAGTCACGTAGAGCTTGGCTTGCACGTGGTCACAGACAAACGCGTACAGCGTTCCCTTTTGAGTCTTCTACTGATTCGGTATGCTCAGCACGTACTATTGTGTATACTATTAGATATGAATGCTGACGACAATGCAGTGCTTCAGCCTCGTGTAAACAAACCATGTCATATCCTCAGCGAATAGGACGTTTTCTATTCACGACGTTACGTCAACCCGTCAGGAGAGCTAGCTCTTGTATGCTCCTGCCAGTCCTGGTCTTTGAGATCTGGTTTTGAAACTCTCTCTCTCTCTCCCTACAACTGTAGTGCTAGTCCAACGACGTCCAAGTCCCACACAGTATCAGTAGTATTATGTAGTCATCGGCACCCCTGACGAGGTCTGCACCACTATGGCCAATCAGAGTGTCGGTAGCCAAAACGATGCATGCACCTGCAAGGTGACCATCTCTGGCACTTAGTGGCAGACGTCGGATCGACAGTCTCGCCTGTGACCAGTTACAGGTCGCACGCGACGGGCGGTCAGTCCAATGACAGCCCTCCCAAAGTTCGGACCACGATGCGCATGCGTCTCACCAAACATGTACGTGAACTGAGCGATGAGAGACGTGAGCAGGTCGAGCTGCGGTTCATCTGTGTTTACACGCGATCACCGAGTGACAGCACCGGCATCTGTCCACGCGCTGACGATGTGCAACTCAGGCTCTCGCTTTGTTTATGTCTCTATTTTGATGACTCGCAGCATTTGCTACACCACTCCCGTAGATGGCGGTTAGAAGCGTCGGGGACGATTCCCGGGCCAGGGACTAGAGCCAAGAAAACCTCTTTTTGTAGCAGATCAAACAAAGCAAGGAAATATGTGAGGGCAAATCTTCATTGGCTCCCTCTCGACATGGGTATGGCAGACGAATGCCCGCCATTGGCTTCCCAGCGTCATGGCGGCGAGACCCAGCAAGGAAAGCCGGCCGACGGCGCTTTCTCTCCGGAGAAGATGCTGGAACTTGAGAGAGAGGCGCTTCGTGCCACGATCAAAGCGAGATACCAAAGAGAGCGAGAGAAGGATAGTACATCAGCACTGGCTGCAGCATCAAGTAGCACAAGGTTGGAATGCGATGATGAAGGGCGTTTCGCCGTGGCCAGCGCGTCCTTGAAGCAACAGGCCGCATCGCCAAAGTCCCACAAAGCGTCGGGATCGCGAACACGACAACGACGCATCAAGGTGAGTACTGGTACTAGTGTGTCTACAGTCTTGACAAGTCTTGTTGCCCGTTTTGTTTGCCTCAATGATACTGTCGAACACGGGCCTAACGGCGAGGCGGTTGAAGCTCTAGAGAGTTTTTACCAATGGTTTGTGCATCTCCGGTACGGATCTCTTTAATTTAGAGTGCATTGCCAGAAAGCGAACGAAGCCCAAGGGCACGATCATTTTCCTTGTGTCACGGATGTTTCCTTGCAGTCTGCAGCACCTCGCATGCCCTCGGGCACTGCTTCCTCGCAACTTGGTCGTCGCATTGGCGCATTCGCGACTACTGCTGGCCACCATGGTTCGCACCAGTCGCTCAGCTCAGGATCATCCGCTCTGCTCTCTTCCGAGTCATCCACCTCGGTTATAGCGGAACAGGGTGCGGGACGTTTTGGAGATTCAAAAGGACCGATGTTTCGAAGATCGACAGCAGCAGCAGCTGCAGCTCAATCGCAAAGAGAAGGCCTCTCAAGCAGCAGGTTTGTGATGATTTGACTTTTCACTGCTGTAGCCTGAGCTTTAGCGTTAGCTCTCCATACACATGCTTGTTCCTTGGGAACAATTCACGAATGAAATGACTGTGTGATTGTGTAGCAAACTCATAATGCTGCAAATTGTCATTTCCTGAAGAATCTGTGATGCCGTTGCATAGAGTGATAATTATGTAGAAGAGGTCTCTAAAGTGTTGCGTGTGTGTGGTTCGTTGCCTCTGCCCAGTGGTCAATGCACACGGGCCACATCCCGGCATCTGATGGAGCGACCGGAGCGTCCACACTCCAGCTACACGCGGCCCAGCAGTGCAGTGCATCAGGCGAGGCAATCACAGCTGCGTCGGCGCAGTGTCTCAGAACCGAGTCAACTGCACATCGATGTCAATGATATACACCCTATCGTTCAAGGTACCAGGAGAGGAGGGAATCCATCACAAGATGCCACACCGTCATCCTCAAACCACTATATGCGCCCATCAGCAGCAACACCTAGAAAGCGGCCACAGTCGGCAATGCCGCGACTCCAGCAAACGCCACCACAGCAGCAACGGCCTACATCAGGGTCATACAGTCAAGGTATGAGTATACTCTGGTATGTAATACACGTGACAATTGTGTGCACAAATTATCTTCATCAGTACAATTACACCAGGGGCATCTGCAAAAATGTCGACGAGTTCTCTTCAGCGGTGATGTGCGCCATTCTGTTGTAACCTCTGTGGCAAATTGTGCTCCTTTGGTCTGCAGTATTTCGCCTCAGCGGAATGGAAAACGACTCCGCAGGAACGGAGTTATCTGTTCAGGGAAGAAAGCTATCAGTGCCATCGGCCCGTGCTTGGCCTGGCCTGCTGGAGGAGATTGATGAAGAAGACTGGCTTCAACGTGAGCAGGAAGAAGAGGAGCTGGCATTCCTGATGCAAACAGATCCGGCAGCAGCACAGCAGCAGGAGCTCCGCAAAGCACTGCACATCAAAAAATTGGAAACAGGATCGGTAAGTAGTTGATGCTAGCTTCACCATAGAATGGAGCAGAAAACCAACAGAACTCTGGAGAAAAATGACTTTTAAATGCACCTTTATGGTGGTGTATTCACAATAGTACTATTCCCACATCAATTTCATGAATCAAATCTTTTCCAACATTTCCTTACCTGGGTCATAAAGTTGCCATTGAAAGTGGATATTTCAAAGCAGAGAAACAACTATTAATTATTTTCATTGGGTCCCTTTTCATCACTTTAAGCGAATGCACGAGAACTAGTTTTTGTCCTAAGACTCAGGGTGTGGATTTCAAAACGGATAATCATGTTTTGCAATCATATGCCAGGCTTGATGGCAGGCAGGCACAGTGGGTTGGTCTAAGACCATGATTGGGAAACGAGAGGTACCAGGTTCAAGTCCTGCTTGGAAGCGGAAGGATTTTTCCAACCGTGCTGCGACCCACAGTTAGTTGGGAACTCGTGGCCTGGCATGAGTAATACAGTGGTCCCTCTATAATCCGGCACCATTTGTGCCACGAAAATCTGCTGGATTAGGGAGGGTGCTGGATTAACAAATCTGATTTACTGCTGCAATGTGCATGAAGAGGACATTTTGGCTACTGAAAATTGTGCTGGTTTATCGAGGGTGCTGGATTATAAAGTGCCGGATTAGAGAGGGACGACTGTACATGGATGTGGCAAATGGATTCGAGGCCTTTGGCCTCTGGTTGGTGGATCTGATCTATCCTCCCCCACCGTTTAGGAGCCGCATCTGACGCCTGATCATGGGGTGGTTGCGTCCCACGGAAGCGGAAAGGTGGTTCTTGCCCAGGGAGTTGTACGACTCCTTGTTTTTGACCTGCCCGGTACGCGCACCCCGTCGAATTTATTTATTTTTATTTATATGGCTTGAAGAGCATAAGTTGAATATTTGAATATTGAAGATTTAGGTAGCTACAATATTCATCTAGACTAATGAAGTTTGGCAGTTATAGGTTACGAGAAATGTTCAATATAGCAACACAAGAGGACAATTCAGTGGGGTTGTGATGTTCAGCGAGAAGTAAATAACTAGCAGGCACTTGATTGGAAAGTTTTCCAAAAGCATCCACTTCCACAGTAATAAAAAATAGTACTTTTCTTGAATGAGGATATACTGTATTGCTCCCCTATTCAGTCTTGACATCCCTCTTCGCCCTATAATGTTGCCCTATCCACGACCCAATATTGCGTTACTCTTTGTTTTTCCCCCAATCCAGAGACCACCGTCGGCGAATGATTGGCGAAAGGGCCGAATTGCAATCCCCCAGTACCATTGTGACAGATGCAAAGACTTCTGGGAAAGAACAGGCAACGTGCCCGAGGAGTGCGTGCGGAACATGAGAAACATTCCTGGCTTCAACTGGTCACGGCCACGATCCGGCAAGGGAGGAGCAAGACGTAGCGATACACTGCAAGTCGGTGACGAGATGATGGTACCGGTCAATAGTGCCATTAGCATCGGGGCTGATGGCAACGGTGATGAGGATGACGATGGCGAAGGACGCTCCCTGCACAGGGCATTGTCCACCATTGCTGGATCAGAGGTGGGCGATATGCTCAAGTCTGGCGCCTCCAGCCGTAGCAATGTACACTCAACGGATGATGGCGCAGATGCGAAAGGAGTGGGAAAGCATTGGTCAGGGGCACTTGACGGCGATGAAGGCAGTTCATTATCCGCTGATGATCCAAGAACATTCATTGGTGCTGATGGCAAAGTATATACACCTGGAGATGACCTAGAACAATACAAACCGCAACACATACCACCAGCATCCCCGAAGAAGTCAGGTAGGAAGACATCTGCAAAGCGTCGAAAGTCCAAACGAGCCAAGTCAGCACTGGGCAGATCCAGTGGGTCGGCAGTAAGCATGACAGAGGAAGACAATGGAGCAGGTGGTGATGATGCAGACAGTGATGGGCACACGGGACTAGATGGGATTGACGATTCAGATGGAGATGATGGCTCAGCCACTGCTGCAGGAAACCCTCAAACCATTCGGTGAGCACCCGTATATAACACATACTATTACTTGTACTACATTTAACCTACTCCACTCCCTTGATATACCGTAAAGTACCGTTGATCCGCCCCCACGCCATGTCGCTTCCCAGCTGGATTTTCGGCAGGGGGCGGGAATTAGATCAAGGCTGTCAAGTGTAGTACGATGTCAAACAACGTAGAGGATCAGACTCAATGTGCTGGATTGTGCACATTTTGATCCTGGATTGGCAATATTGTGTACAGCAGTACATGCGTCGGTTCAACATCGTATTTCGTTGTATACGCCGAAGTCGCTTCACAAGGAGAAAATCGACAGGGGGCGGGAATTAGAGAGGGGGCGGATCAACGGTACTTTACGGTATTCGTAAAAAAATGAAATGCCATGGTTTGCCTGAGACTCAGTTAGACTGAGTTTTCCGCATCCGTAGGAAGTCCACCACCCTCTAGGATCATCTCCTAGAGCATTGGGAGGTGAGTAACGTTAGATCAGACCCCACCACCAAAGTGATTAAAGACCGAAAATCCCATTCACTTCACCCATTTTCATGATTTACCTGAAGTTATCGGGCCACTGGCCGCAGCCAGTGAGGTGAGTAAATATCCTGTTCTTTTACTTGAAATGCTGCAAAATTTCGAACAACAGTCATTAGTCCTTCGAATGATTGGTAGGTAACTTAAAGATGGCACAGCGAAATGAAAAGACAATTCCGACCGGTAGAAAACAAAGAGAATTGGACCGATATACGTCCAAATCAATTCCTCTGCTAGGGAGCTATGAAATTGAATGGATTTTGAACTTAAACCAGTGGACAGGTCATTGGTGATAGGCTGTAAAGCGATGCAACATTCCAAATATGGTTTGTCTTCTGTGTTTTGTGATCTTTTTGCAGAATGATAAATGGACTTCGCATTCCCATCGACACCAGTGGCACTGCCAAGGCCAGCGGTGCAGCAATGGGGATCAAACGCTCGTCAAAGAAGAAGCCCAAAGAGCCACTGAAGCTGGAGAACATTCAGGACAGGTTCACGCGAGCATTCACCTTTACCTACTACGTTCCCAGCAAGTCTCATCGCGACGAGGTCACGTCCTGGAAAGCCAAGAGTAAAGGAGCTAAATGATCTACGCATATGTATGTGGATGTCAGACTTTCCGACGAGCTGCACTGCACAGTTATGAACACGTATATCGCAGCAGCTATCTATGTTACTGACGTCAGGCTGGCCCTCATGAAAGTCTGCAATATTCGTTTTCTCGGAAATCCATATCAGTAAATGAAACTTGCCTCGTTGAAAGGGAATATGATACTACTAGTATTGTACTACTCCCTGGTACCATTGTATTCTGTTTGCATTGTAATTATGATCAGATTATTCTATTTCCAAAAGAAGAATTTTATAACAATGGGAGATCCCATACCACAGCATTATCCTAAGCCTCTCATATTTCTCTAACCTTTTATTATATTTTTTGTAAAGAGAATTTGTATTTATCTCGACATTTCACGCACCTCAGTGCGCATCCCGGAGCTTTGCCTCCACCAATATCTTGCTTCAAAGAACTTGCCTTTGGAGGTATTTTGCAAGGCAAAGTAACATGCCACTGAATTGACAACAACAGACGTTTCGTCTGTTGGCAGCTTCACATGATATGTGTTCTGTGGCGTTTGCTGTGTGTGACTAATGTACATTTTGCACAAGAATCAATGGCAGAAAAAGTCGTTCCGCAAATAGTAAAGAAAATACAAGCAATGGAGAGAAGATAGCACTTGCACATGTGTCATTGGATAGACTTCATGTAGTAAAGTCATGAGACAGCCGGATTTCAGTGAATAGAATTTGTTTGGATGGGACACTAGATCACAGGCAGATGAAATTCACCGACATCTGTACACAGGTACTTTTGATCTTAGGTGATAGGTCAGCTTGAACTAAAGGATATAGCAAATTGATCCAGCAGTTTACAGCCTGCATTGGGTGAGCATGTATTCGTACAAACTGTATAAAAGATGATCAAGAATGATTCAGACTAACACTGCGGCGTTTTAGCAACTACGGCACGGTCTTCAAGGTAGCTCTCAAGCAATCCGGTGCACCGGTATGGGCAGGAGAGATAAAAACAAAAAATGGAGGTGTGTAACTGGCTATGAGACGATGAACAGTGTACTCACACATCTACATCTACAATCTAAGAACTAATAGCAAACACAATCCATGGGAGATGCTCATCATTTAAGGCATCGCACCTGCACTATTACAGGCAGGTCTACAGATCTATTGATCCTGTACTTTGTGGAACGGCAACAGTCAATCTCAGTCATCCTCATTTTCCAGGGCGGCATTTGCAATAACTTTCCGATCGGCTCCGTTTCGTTCTCCTACGGTAGCTGTTACTACGTTGGTTGTCATCACTGCTACTACCAGTCACATAATCCTTGAGTTTCATCAACGTGCCCGCACGGATGCACTGGCATTTGTCAAAGCACGTCTCAGAACACATCCTGCAGTAGTTCTTCTTGGCGATGTTGGCCAGCTTGTAGACCTCCTTGCGTAGCTCATTCATCTTTGCATCATCCTTGAACCGCAGCCACTCTGCTTCAATCTACACAGAAAGAGGGAACACACCCAAGGGACGTTTCAAGATAAGTACTAGTAGCTTGAGCAGACTCGGAAAAGCACAGAATGAGCCCGTTCCATTGGTGCATAAGTATACATGTATAACATGGGGAATGTCATCCAGCCCGACACACCGGGGGAACATAACCCTGGAAATCCTGAAAATGTGTATGTATGCATGGTGTGGTACATCCACAGTGGTCTTGTGCCAGAGTGGTTCACGACTATGTCCTGAGGATGATGCCAGAAAGGCTTGGACAGCACCTCTGAACATGATCCACGCAAGTAGGCCACTATCGTTTGATAGCAGCATTGGTTTCATATCAGTGTTTTCTGTTTCTCGAACACCAATAGTGAGAAAATGCTCGCCATGGCATAGCATTCTAAAGACAAGTACATTGTACTGTCTTAGGACAGTCTTTAGGATAGTACTATAAATGCATTTTATTTTTATGAACACTCACCCTGCTTCGAAGACTCCTGCCAGACATTTTGCCATCGATCGTCACTGGCTTCCCGTTGATTTTCAACACCATATGAATATACTGCAGCTGCGAATCTCCGACAACTTCCTGTGACTCTGCGTAAAGCTCCTCAAAGGCGTGCTCACTCTGGGCTTCTAAAGCATTGGGCAGCTTCTTGCGGGATCTCCGGCCACCCTCCGCTGACGATGAGCCACTGTACCTGCGTGTCTGCGTCCTCCTCCTCCGGGTGTAGCTTCTCCGGACAGAAGTTCTTCTCGTGGCTCCACTATCACTATCGCTGTCACTGTCACTGCGTCGCTCTCGTCCTGTGGCCGTGTCATGACCCAGTGCACGTACATCGCTGTCATCATGCCAGCCCAGTAGGTTTCTGCCGTGCACCTTCTCGTGATCATCTACATCTAGCTCTGCCAGAGCCTCTTTAAGATAGCTTCCAGGGTAGGTGCTTCTTTTCTTTCGGCCTGCACAGCACAGAGTGAGAGCAAAGATAAGCCGAAGAGTTTTGATTGTTGCAATACAGCCATGCCGCTGTACATAGTTGCATTTCCCTGTTCTACTCATACTCCCTGTAGCTCTGCTCCAGGCAAATGCAGCAGAGGGTGGTGACACACAATCATTCAGTCAAGCAGAGACAGTCAAACCGAGGAGTGCTAATAATTAAAAATCATTTTGTCATACTCTGCAGTGCATTTAGTGTTAGCACGATATGCTTTATTGAAAAGGTACAGGAGGAAGTACCTAACAATTGCATCAACATTGTCAAAATGTCCACTTTCCCCACTTCTATTGCTGTCGTTCTTCCTTCTTCCTTAGCTGATTGTTTTCTGTTTTCGTCCATGGTGTGTTGGTATAAAAGTGATTTAGAGCATTGGCCTTCCACAAATTTTGTAATGATGTTGTGATCAAAACTGACTTTGATTCCCGGTGTGAGCGAAGATAGCTTCTCACTCACAGTGGGCTCATTTGGGTTAGGATGCAATGGTACCTGACTTTGGTTTGGAGGCAAAGGGAACGAGGGAAAGAAGATGAACACCACCATCACTGGGCTGCTCTCACTACCGTCTCTGACATCTCCCGTCCCTATGGCTATGGTCATCGATGGGCTACCAAGTTAGTATAGTGACCTTGGCCTTATCGTACTACAAGAAAGGATGTGCAATAAGAACTCAGATGGTGAGCCAAGAAAAAATTGTAACATGGAAAAATGTGGGCACAAATTGTCTGACTGTTCAAAATCTAGTTTAGTTGGTGGACTCGATCGCATAACTTGTGCCCACATTTTTCCAAGAAAGGATGTGTTTGTACAATGACCAGCTCAAAGCACAAGTAAATGCATGCAAGAACTCACGATAGTATTCGCGGACACTCGGTGGCGGCTTATAGGCTGAGAAGAATGCCGAAAATCCGCCACAGCGATAGTGGTCGTTAGTTACAAACTCAACTCGCATCTTCGACTCTTGTGTGACATCATAGAGCAGAAGTCTACTTTTGTTAGGGTCCGTGCTGCACATGTGGCGTGAGCGACGTCTGCTGGTCAGGAAGACATAGTCGTAGTTACAGTTCACGTCCAAGTCGAAAGAGACAAACTCCACGTAGATGTGGTAGCCCTCGGGTGCTTCGAACTCAAAGTCGCACTCGGTGTTGTGAAAGTAAACGTTCTGTCCGGGACACTCGGACGATGTGCGAGGCGACACAAATGGTGCGTACGACGAATTGACAAAGTCACCTCGGCTGACAACGACACCTCGCGACTTACACTCCCATGTTCCGAACCTGGAGAATCAACAGTCACACCGAGAACACAGATGGAGAACACAATAACGTGGTCCATATAAAGTATGCAAGTCTTATGAAAAATTAAGAACATTGGCATACAGCTGATTCTAATGTGCGAGTTTATACCGTGATTCCCCAGGTCGCAGACGACTAAATGTTTCTCTTGCTGCAGACTACAGCCTGACCGAGCCGTTTGCTTCTTGCTGCATCCAGCTATTATTACTGGCCATCAATCCTCGCAATTCTCAAGCTGACCATTTGATCTGAGACAGCTCTATGCTCCTATAGAGCTGGTATAGGGATACTATGGCCTTGCAGTCTGTTGATTTCCAGCTGCGGCAGAGGTCCTATTTAGGTTTTCAGGGGTTAGAGGCACTTTTCCTCCTATGAATCAGTGTCTGAATTGCACAGCTATAACCTATCTTTGGATAAGCACTAGGCGCAGCAAGGGTGTCCTAACCTGATCAAAGACATGCCTAGCCAGCATCTTACCAGAAATACCCACTTTAGGACAGGAGAGTTATAGGATACAAGAGACGGAATAATTACTCCACTCACACTGAGTTTGTCTGCTGCGAGGAGCTTTGGGGAAAGTCCCTAGTCTCTAGCTGCGCCAAGCCTGAGGCATCGGCCTCAGTCCCACACTTGCCACAGCAGGGTGTCCCATCACCAACAAAAACTACATGTAAGACTTAGTACAGATAGCCTACATGTATGATGTAGCATATATGGCTCATTGATACATTCTTTTTCATAACGCACAGAGAGGGTCATGCGGAAGCCGGTACGGCTGCAGAGGCCAGAGGCCAGAGCCTTCGGAAACATTCAAAACATTGCTCTTGTGTCAAAGCCGCCAAGCACTGGCAATCCTAGCTCTTCGTGAATATCGTAAACATCACTTTCTCTTACTTATTTGCAGATACAAGGCTTGCGTCATCCGTCGTAAGTGCCACCAAAACAAGGTAGAGGTAGAGAAGCTTCAGAGTGCTGCAATAACCTCCGCTGTTAGGGGGTAGCTTGGTAGATGTCATGCTGCGCTGTGGTACTTGAGACAGCGCGGTGAACTCCATGCCTGACCCGCAAGTCGATTTTCTCCGCTCGATGATCAGGTGATGAGGAAAGATGGTGTCGACACGTGGAGAAGACGCTAGCTGCACACGTCCTTACACACCTAGGCTATAGGCTATACGTATGCTACTTTGGACCGTGAGGGTCGCAGGAGCAACACTTCGGTAACAACCAGGCATAAGTCATGGGTGTCGCTCAGCCAGGCAGAGAATAAACTGATGATATCTCCTCTGAGAAACGCTAGCAAAGCGTGTGTTTTGAAGACACAGACACAACTTCCACAGTTTTGGTCGGATCGAGTCGAGTAGAACGTTCAGTCCTACCGATTCAATATTATCACTGTAGCGGTGATAGTATCGCTGCTTCCACTAGCTAGCCTTCTTCAGGTAACACTGAGAACGAGCCAGGCGACGCACAACCCGCTTCCAGCAGCTCTCATCGAAAGTACTTCAAACTTGTTTGACGCTCCGTGGCTAAATCCGAAAAGGAAACGCGCGCGGACAAGTAAAAGAGCTGCGTGGACATTGGCGGAAGCCGACGAAACCGCTCGCCAGGGACGAACAGTCGGAATACCCGAGAATTATCACAGGCATCAATACCGGGAAGCCAGGTTCCAATGACGATAGTTATCTGTCGGAACCTCTTGCTATGTTTCAGGGACCGTGAATGGCTTCCTCGCTTTCAAGATTCGAACTGAGACCGAGCCCGTCGCTTTTCTTCGCTCTCTGCATGGATTTCTCTTGTCCCCTCGATGCCCCGGGACTTGCGAGTCCGCGCTCGAGGAAGATCTACTCTGTGTCTTGCTCCGAGCCGTTATGACTGGATCAGGGTCTGTCGCAAGACAGGGTTCGAGCTCAGCTGGCTGGTAGATCTACCGCTATCAAGAGTATCATGGCTTATACCTCACTCCATAATATTCGCCTCGGTTTTTATACTGTGAAGAAGAGGTTGGTGCGACTTCGGCGATACTTGGGGATTTGTGTGTTGCGCCCTACGTGGGAGCTTGCCCTATTCTTGCTGACTTGAATTCTCACTTGACTGACTCACGACTGCCATCCAGAGCACACGAGAAGTCCATCGACCTTTCCATTCGGCAAGCCTGCAAGAAAGCACCACTCCCTCCTCAATACACAGTGTTTCGGGGAATTCACCCCTCAATACACAGTGTTTCGGGGAATTCACACCTCATCAGTTGAGCTTGAGTAGGCCCAGGTTTCTCAAGAGCACCACTTATAGTCATGTTATTGTAGTGCTCTCCAGGCACAAACATCACCAGGGATACAAACTTACAGAGACGCTCCGTTTCCAGCCCGACAAACACCTCGTGAATACCAGATAGCAGCGTGAGTCAGTGTCGCTCATGGAGGTTTTATACCGTGGTGTATATATATATATATCTACTCAATCTGCGGACAGAACTGTTTCGTCCTTTGTGGACTCGTCAGCGCAGCACAGAGGAAATGAGGCCGAACCTGATAGCAATGGAAATAAAAATTTCCAATCAGGCCCGAACGTACCTTGCCAGAGTGCTCAAACTGACAAGTCAGTGAGCTCTGCATAACGCAAACAGCAAAGGCACTACCCCACGCAAGAGTGCTCAACTGCTACAAGAGCAGGAGCGAAATACTCAATCTGCGGACAGAACTGTTTCGTCCTTTGTGGACTCGTCAGCGCAGCACAGAGGAAATGAGGCCGAACCTGATAGCAATGGAAATAAAAATTTCCAATCAGGCCCGAACGTACCTTGCCAGAGTGCTCAAACTGACAAGTTTGTGAGCTCTGCATAACATATATCTATATACATACGGTCCCTTGTTATAATCTATACGTATCACTCTCTTGGACTCTAATCGCTATACTTAAGCAGTTTTAATATTCCTCCATATTTCGCTCATTAGGGCTCTAAGTATTCGATTGCTTAGTAATTGATTCCTCTTTAGGAATTGAACACATGCATTGGTATGTCGTGAGAAATCAAATACTGACTTCGTACTAGGTCAATATAGGCAATAAACCCTCGTAAAAGAGAGAGAGAGAGAGAGAGAGAGAGAGAGAGAGAGAGAGAGAGAGAGAGAGAGAGAGAGAGAGAGAGAGAGAGAGAGAGAGAGAGAGAGAGAGAGAGAGAGAGAGAGAGAGAGAGAGAGAGAGAGGGAGGGAGAAAGAGAGAGAGAGAGAGAGAGAGAGAGAGAGAGAGAGAGAGAGAGAGAGAGAGAGAGAGAGAGAGAGAGAGAGAGAGAGAGAGGGAGAGAGGGAGAGAGAGAGAGAGAGAGAGAGAGAGAGAGAGAGAGAGAGAGAGAGAGAGAGAGAGAGAGAGATGGGGGAGAGGGGATAGTTTACTCTACAAGCCTGGTTCAGACAAGGAATTATTGAAATGGTGTAGTCCAGATATACCAGCAATGAGCATGTTCACCACTCCCTGGTTCCTTTCATCATGTAATCACTATGGGGATGGGGATTCTCCTCATGCAATCATGATGGGGATGCATGGGTGGTATTTCGATTATACTAAGTCTTTATAGAGTTTGACAACTAGGTCTCTCTAACTAGTAAAGATCCACTGCCATGCATGCAAGGCAGGACGGGATGAAGCGATCCCTCGGGTCGAATCAAACGGACTGCTGGGGTTAGTGCTACCACATTGACGAGATATGCGGACAGTGAAGATACCCTCTACATGTTGGGAGTTTTCGGCCAAGCAATTAACTCTTTAGAACAAAATGCATTATCCTGCTCACGGAGAGATGTCCGGTTGTAAGTTTCAGGATGAATCATCAGCTATGTGCTCCAACCAATGCAACCATCCCGGTCACTCTCTTCTTTGAACTAGTGCTGCACAAACCCCCCTTTTGTCCTGTCTCGTCTGGTTCCCGGGCTCTTTTGTTGCATAGTGCACTGACACTCATTATTCGCTTCTCCATCACTGGGCAGTTCTGTGCGTTTGGTTTGTGCATTCAAAACACGGACAACAACAACGACAACAGCAATACCCGCTTCCAGCTAGCCTATCACAGCGTCTTTAGAGTATTTTTATTTTGGTACCGTCACTGCTCATCGCTTGCCATCTCATCCTCTCTGTTGTGACGATGGCTTGTCCAAGTCCATGTATCCTGTCACCTAGTGACCTAGCTGTGTACTGCGCTGTCTCGCTCACACGAAAGAGCAACCACGAAACAACGACAGCTTCCCGCCGTAGATACAGTCAACTTTGCGTATAACGACACTCGGCGGGGCATCAGAAAAGTGTCTTTATTCGCGAAGTGTCCTTATACCCGAAGTCTCATTATAATAATTACAGTTAGATGGGACTTTGCTCTGGCATGGAAATTCTGTCGCTATTCGCGAATTTTATTCTATCCGCAGTCGTTATTACAGTAGTTGCCTGTATACTAGTACCGGTACACTGTCTGTAGCCACCTTGCCACAGATATTATGTATCTAGTCAAACAGTGGACAGAAAGGCGCTATGGTTACACTGGCCACTCAGGGTTTCATGCACTCCTGAGTACTGTACTGTGCAATCACCAGACAACATGATAATGGTGGGTATGCCAGTATTTGTGTGGGGACTGGGTGCGGATTGGGTTAGGGTGCTATGGGTGTCACTGAGCGGTGATGGCTATGCTGGAAATATTTTGCAGCTGGAGCTGCATGGCTCTGAGTTACAGCCACAGAGACTTTCTGTCCACTGTTCTATGCTCTACCTCCACAGCATTTTGAGCACTATTTGCACACTAGGTGCAGCACCCCTCGTATTATAAGACTACAAAGAGGAACCTGGGTGTGATTTTGCTGAGAACTGATATACGTCTACATGGACTAGGTAGCAGAAATGACACGAAAATTGAAAATAACGCCCCGCAGTAATCTAGGGCCAGAGTACATGAATCTATAGCATAACCGGGATTTGAAGTGGTGCCCGGCTAATCGTAACCCGGCATTGTAATGACTCCATCATAGCATGCTGTTCTGCCCAAGGCACTGCACATGTGAGCATTTTAAATCCTCAGTCTCCCACTGCATGCGTAATTGTGCACGCTGAGACCTCGTAGATCTACTGCAGTACACGTTTCGATCCACTCCAGCAGATCCAGGAGAACTAGCCAGTGCTTCCTCATTCCCAGATTCCCAGAGGCGCAATCACAGATCGGTCGTATGTACTCCCGGATATGTTCACGACACTGTAGATCTACATCTACGTAGATGGCTTTTCAAGCTGCTCATGCTCATCGCTCTCCGAGCGCGAGGCAATGAGCGTCGGACGCAGAGGGGTGTCACCGGGATCTCACGGGAGCCAAGCCGATGGCATGGCAAGGCGTCAGCAAGATATTGGCTATGCATCGCTTTATATGGAATACACACCCACAGGAATCTACCCCAGCAGACTAGCTAAGGAAGTACAGGAACAAGGGCAGCAAATGAAGTAGTGACCGAGTTTACAACAGCAACTCGCACATGATAATCATGCTTGCGCCCATCAATCAACCCGGACCCGCCTTTCTGCTAGCAGCTGCTACTGCAACAATCTATGCGAGCGGTCGCCTGTTCAGATCACAGCTGGACTGACCCTATCTCCGCCCGATTACCAAACAACGTACACGGTATAGCTCACATGCCGTTAGTACGGTTACATACTAACCAAAGACTGAACACTGCACTAGAAATCAAAATGCCCTAGTCTCGGTGGATGCAGTGTAGACTGTAGTCTTCGCACACCTCGATTTGTCTGTCTGCTCTCCCCGCATGTTTTGAACCTGACCTGGCGCCGTCCTATTGGGCGACTTTGCACTCAGAGATGACTGTTGAAGTGTTTGTCAACAATACGACGATGCACTGCATAATCTGTTTCGTGGCTGTTACAGTACACCTACCTGGCATATCTGACTCATGTTGTTTATCGCGCTACCCTTCATAATTATCGTGCTGCAGGGCAGTTTGACTTTCTAGCAAGCAATGTGGCAAGAAGACGCTAGTTGTTGGAGGCTATATCGATGTCGGTCCAGAGCGGTGCAGAGTTACAAACTGCTGTAGTCATGACCGGCTCGAACATCCTGACACACACTCTTCACCAGTATGGCATGGAGAAGAAGAATATGATCGCCGCAACGGTAAACATGATGTGTAACATGTACTTACTTGTCTTACTTGTAAGACCACCTGTAAGACCACTGCTATCCTTACTGGCAGTGGTGGTTCGTAATACTGACCTAGCTAAAAAAATGAATGCACAGGAAGCTGTGGTCAATGTGATAATATCATAATTTTATTGTAAAGGGAAAGCTACTTCGGAATTTGTGTTCTAGAATAGTACCAAGATAAGGTTAGGATTTCTTTAAGGTCTGCCCTAGCTAGGCACGTTACTTAACCTTTCTGGCAGCGCTAAAGACTATGTACAATCGGTGCAGGTTTCTTGAAGATCAAAATTTAATAATGGCGCCACTCACCTCAAAGTGTCAGCCAATGGGACTTCCCCCATGTCTTACATAATGTACTAAGGAAAGAAGATGTAAGGCAATGCAAAAAATATATATTGGTGGTACTCAACAGTCAGTCCTAAATAATCTTCCTGGATGTATGGGAATTAAAAGCTTGGATGAAGGTACCATGACAATCATTGCAATGGCTTAACACTATTCAGGAAAATTAGATTTTGCTAGGGCCTGGTGACAAACAGGTGCTCCGCATTGCTCTGTAGGCAAGGCAGCGATCACCGGCGTGGCGTGTAATGACTCTGTGATGTACTGACAAGGCCAAGGCTTATCATGGCTCGCGCTGCTGCCAGTGCTGCAGATCGGCCAGGATGTCTCGCACTACGGTTCTGACCTACAGGAACATACACGCAGACACACACGAACACACACAGAGGACATACAGGCTGTGCGCGAGTGACAACTGTACAACCACTTGCTACAGAAGGTCACTACATGACTCAGGTGTTTCATTACATGATTCTCCTGGTGGCATTGCCAAGACTTCCAATCAAATGCAGCCAGCAAAGATACACACACTCTCCCATGATCCATTGCCAAACCCTTTTCTTCTCCGTATGAACAATGTTCAGTGTGTGTGTGTGTGTGTGTGTGTGTGTGTGTGTGTGTGTGTGTGTGTGTGTGTGTGTGTGTGTGTGTGTGTGTGTGTGTGTGTGTGTGTGTGTGTGTGTGTGTGTGTGTGTGTGTGTGTGTGTGTGTGTATGCAGGTGTGCAAACTCACGATCATGTAATGTAGTACATGGTCTTACCTCCATATTTGAATCCTTGGCAAATTTTCTGATTAGCTTCTCGGACACCTGCAACAGCACAGCAGACAAACAAAGACGTGTACATGCTGTGAATGAGAAGACATTGGGCACCACACCTAAGTCCTTGTTTGTCTTCGTTCCCTCTACAAGATACAGTGAAGCAATTGGCTGGAGGAAGGGTGGACAGGTACCGACAATTAACACCCCGCGCCCTACAGAGGACGAACACATTAGAGACAGCTATGGACCAGGAAGTGTCACAAACTCGGACAATCAGATGTAACGGTGACATGATCAGGTCAACAGGCAAGCTCTTTCAACTACTGCCGCTGGGAAGCAGCAAACTGTCCACAGCATGACTGTGCTCTGTCCATAGCTACACATATTGAGCATACTGGACTCCATCTCAACACACACGACAATGTACAGGCTGACTGCATTACCAGACACTGCACTTACCTGGTCCATGGCTTCACGTGCATTGTAGCTCATCTGACATTCAGCGGATATGGACTGCAGTAATCTGGACAACACAACCATGTGTAGACAATACAATAATTGCTTGAGAAGCAAGGAACTGATTGTGCAGGCTACACTAGCAACCACTTGTGTACTGCTACTGACTCCAGTAGCAATCAATGTTCCTTACTTAAGCAGACCACAAGAGAAGTGAAGTACCTTCTGCTGTAGTTTTTGCCTTCACCGGTCAGTGGTCCTGGTAAGGTGGTTACACACACATGCAAGCATGGCAACAGCATACCGTGCTGTTCAAGACATCATTCACCATAATTCACCTATCGTCGGCCACTGTGCCGCTCAAGACCTGCGACCATTAGGCAGTGCACTGGTGCAGGGCGGTAGCTTATTCAACTTACTTCAATGCTTGCAAGTGATTTCCACTCATGCTTGTGCCTGAGCACAAAGCAGTCAGCAGACGGGAATGTGAAATTGAAATCAATATCAACATGGATGAAAAGATTGCTCCACCATGCGTGTTTCCGTACAATACAATACATCTCCATGTTTTCACGGTCAGCATCTGCTGGTTGATTGTGTCGTCGGGGTGCAGGACCTGACGACGGGCTCTTCTTACCATACTCCCACAATGTTTTATCAGCTCTGCAATTTTAGGTGGTAGCTTGGGAGAATACTTGGTGGGAAAACTGGAAATCCATGCCAAGAGTGTGTTGTGAAATGATGTGTTGTTTTCCTGTGTGATGGCATTCCCCAAACTGTCTCGTCTAGTCGCGTGCATGTGTGATATGAGCATGCGCGATGTTGTAGTCGAGAGTCCTTTTGTCAGTCTTCTTGTTCGTCTCTGTCAGAGCAGTTTGCTTTTCCGTCTTGTAAATATAACATTATGTAACAAACCAGTCTTGTCCTTTGTGTCCTGCGTCCCGGGGAACGGAATGGCTGAGATTCAGTTACAACGTGGTGCCGAAACCCGGGACGCAGAGGATGAGTAAGTTTGTCATGAGTCTGTTCGTCGTCGTCAACAACGAAGTGACTGTTACTTTGAAGTAAACAGAGCGTGGGAGCGGAGGAGGTGAAGAGCTGGTGGGAGCGGAAGACGACGCGGAGAGGAGGCAGAGAAGGTGATGGACTAGAACAGTCACTGTGGACTGGAGCTTGAGACGGCAGGAACCGCGACGGAGCGTGTGGCCGTGGCTCGCCAGAGGACAGTGGACGAGTCTGGCGTCACCGACTGTGTGTCGTCCTTGTTGTTCGTCTTGTTGTGTTGCTCGCTGTGTTGTTCTCTCTCTGTTCAGTTCGTTGCTTGTTGCTGTGTTGTTTCAGTTTGGTTGTTGTCGGTCTGTTGCTCTTCTATTCGTTCTGTTGTTCTCCATTGTTTTTGTTGTAGATTTATTTGGTGCGGCTGTGCGCATGTTATTATTTTGTTGGAGCTTCGGCTCCAGTGTTTCGGTTGGCCTTGTGTGGCGTGGCCTGGTTGTAGAGCGTCGGCTCTAGGTTTTTGTTTGGCCCTGTTTCGTGGCCCGGATATTATTTTAGAGCGTCGGCTCTAGCTTGATGGTTGGCTTTCGTTTTTCTGTTCTGCTGTGATTCCTTTTGCTGTTGTGCATGTGGAACGTGGTGTCGGTTTATTATTTTGTGGAATGTCATCATGGGGGCAGGTGTTGTGAAATGATGTGTTGTTTTCCTGTGTGATGGCATTCCCCAAACTGTCTCGTCTAGTCGCGTGCATGTGTGATATGAGCATGCGCGATGTTGTAGTCGAGAGTCCTTTTGTCAGTCTTCTTGTTCGTCTCTGTCAGAGCAGTTTGCTTTTCCGTCTTGTAAATATAACATTATGTAACAAACCAGTCTTGTCCTTTGTGTCCTGCGTCCCGGGGAACGGAATGGCTGAGATTCCGTTACAAGTGCATGTGTTGTTTTACTACTTACTGGTAAGGATGTGTGCCAGAGCTGGTACCAAGCCAGGCCTGGAGAGGATCATTTCCAAGCCCGGCTGACTGATACTGATGTTGTAGATGGCCATCAAAACAATGCTGCACAGACACGGTGACGGGGCATACGCAACACAACACAGTCATTGTAATGAACAAACATCAGGACCAGAGGCAGCTCACACTCATTGGTATGGATCAGCACTCCACTATGCTTACTAGCACCTAACGCCCCCCCCCCCCCCCCCCCCACACACACACTCAAGAACAAGTGCTGTTATTATTTGACTTACTTCCTCAGTCTCTCGCTGTGGTGTGACGTACGTCAGAGTGCACACGATGCAATCGAAGGTACAAGCACAGAAGAAAACAAGACAGCCACACGTCACTACGACATTACAAATTATGCACTGCAATGCACAGGTGTGCTTCAAATCTATAAAGTTAATACCCTCTTGCACAAGTGCCATGCAAGCCCGGCAACAGTCTAAAAGTGTGGCACGCTAACATTTCATACCCAGGTCAACTAGGACCTCCAACTGCTTGGGAGATCGAGATCTGCACCGCGGAAATCAACCGGCATCTGTGGCATTAGCCCGGAAAATCTTCTGTAGTTGATGTAGGTTCTGTCCAACACGGCTGCAAACACCGCCGACATTGCCAGAACATGTTCTGGAGTGAAAGTGAGAAGGCGCATCTGTGCTTGGAGACACAATACGCGGCGAAATGTAGGATGCCTTGCAAGGATTCCTTCACAGACGCCATTTGCTTTGCACCTTGCCCTTTCTTCTTTTCTTTTCATGTGAGCAGTGCAAAAGATGTGACTATCACTCGGAGTTCAGCTTGCTTTTAGAATCATGTGTATACCGGCAGTACACGCACAGGGACAACCGGTATGTCCTATTTTGCCACCGGTGGCTTGTTTTTAAATTTGTTATATGCTAGCCAACTATTACTGCAACTGCTGGCCTTACCCCTTCACTGCCTTCTTGAGCACAGTGATGTACTGGTCCACTAGCGCAGTCCCGTAGCCACTTGTCACTAAGTAGTCTCGGCCACTAGGTGTTGCAAAGATATCTGCACAAATACAAGCAAAAGGAACTCACGTCTTCACGATACAATTGCCCTGTCTCGTCTTGTCTCGGTGTCAGTTGTTTCGTCGTCTCCTCAGAGAAGTAACTGTATTATACTCTCTATAAACCAAAGAAGTTGGCATTTTGGCGTGTGGCGCGGTCGTGCAAGAGGAGAATAGTTCGTCCTGTTTTAGCTGACGACAAACACAAATGACTAGGAGCATGGTACATGGTACATGGTTTCATCGTACATTTCTGCATCAACTTCTGCCGCTTGTGGCCAATTTCTCGGGCCAGATGAAGACAATGCCCAAAGTTTTGGACATTTCCTACGCGACTGCCGTTGCTCAGATCCGCCTGGGTGTTCCGTGGACCAAATTAACAGACACCCTGGAAATATATCGACTCCTTTGAATCCTTTCTCAGAAATACGCTGGCCAATCACATGGGCGATATACCATTATGGTTGACTACTGGCTCAGTTTTCAAAGCACCTTTGCAGCTTTGCTCAGACCAAGCCAATGTCATACAATCAGATCCTTATCTCACCGTTGGATACATCGACTCAGTTTGACAATCCAGCTAATCTCCTGCTCCGTGGCATCATGACATTGTCGCTCCAGTCTACTGTGATAACAGAGTTGCAGAAGCACCGACCACTGCACTGGCATAGTTTTGCCACCTGGCAGGGCCACACCAGCTGTCTGCGGTCAGGGTTTAGTGGTGTTTTGCCTCCCGGCTTTGTTACTAAAGAATAATTACACTGCGAAGTGTAAAAGAGATTTTACTGTACATAGTATCTAAACACACATATACATATACAAATAATTATGCTTGTACCGATTGAAATCCGATCCTGGGTTTCCACCGATTCACATGCATGCTTTTCCCCGTGCATGCAATGCGTGTGCATCCATTGCCACATTGGAAGCAGTGACAAAAAAATGACCACGTAGAGCCACACAGTTTGCATGCTTTCACCTGCTGGAAACCCGGGGTTGGATGCCATGTGCCAGCACTGCAGCGCATGGCACAGACGCAATGCAGGTCAAGACAAAGACTTACTTGTCAAGACGCCGCATATTGATAGGATAAAATTCACTTCTGCCGAGTCCTCCGTTACCAAGTTATCACACGTCTCCAGGAATCCCTCCATAGAGCTACTGGCCAATTGGAGAAAGCTGACAAGCATATTCTGCCATTGAAAATAAAAGAGAAAGTTGCACAACAAGCAGCATGATAGAATAGAAATTTCTGCAGGGCCTTTCTTTTGAGTTCCTAGTTGCATCTGGTTAGACTTTCTTATAATAATAATATTCCGGCATCGCTTGAATGTTCAGAAACATACAAACTAGCCTTTACATCCGCAGGCCACCACTATGCCTGTTCAAATTAGTGGCGAATGCAGACCTCACAAGTGAGTCAGGGGAGAGGAGGTTAGTCTCTCAACCAATCGGGAGTGTAACGGCCCATAACCCTGTAAACTGCATCGTTGTTATCCTCACTCCGAGCTGTGAGTACCCAGTTGACCGAGGGTGTCGGCGCAGTTTAACACGCGTAAAAATGTCTTTTACACGCTCCCTGCTACCAGCGCGGGTCTCGAACTCGGGACCTCATGATCCATAGGCAGGCCTGCAAACCAATCAGCCATGTGCGTTACGTGGTGTAGACTTTCTTACAATGCGATTTTCTAAAGTTTTGATAATAGCACTTGATAATTGTACATGCATTTCTCATCAGC